AACAAGGGACAAAAACTTTACTTTCGATTTTCTCAAAATAGCTTTTTTCGGGATAACCCCCGTGAGCTTAAAAGCAACCAATTACACCTTGTTCTGTCAACAAACAAGATACATTTAACCTGTGTTTATTATTTTCCCCAGAAATGTTCGAATAAACATTTCCAAAAAGAAAAAAAATCTCAGTTTCAAAATGATATCAAAACCCTGGTCAGGGCTGAACTATAAAATAATAGGAAAGCTTAGCAGGGCATGTAAGTATTTCTCTCTGAATGAGCATTCTTTGCCAGGAAAAAGGAAAAAAAATGGTGTGAGTAAACATTGGCAGCAAGACAGTAGGGACTTAAGCTTTGTGAGACAAATTGTGTCCTGTAACTTGCCAATGTTTGTGTGTGTGAGTGTGTGTGTGTGTGTGTGTGTGTGTGTGTGTGTGTGTGTGTGTGTGTGTGTGTGTGTGTGTGTGCATGCACGCAACTGTGTGCATGCAATAGTGTGTGAGTGTGTGTGTGGGCTGTGCTTGAATATGAATGTATTTCTAAGAGTGTGTGTGTGTGTGTTTGTCTGTGTGTGTGTGTTTGTCTGTGTGTGTGTTTGTCTGTGTGTGTGGGTTCGCACATGCATGTTTGTGGCTGTGTGTGCTGCACGCATGTACATTTCTAACAAGCTGCTTCCTGAAAAAAAAAAAATTCCAATCCACTGCATATTGCAACAAATCAAAGATAGATCAACAGATCAAAATCATACACAGCAAGCTTAACATCATAAGGACATGTTCAATGTGGCAGCAGGTTTGTGGAGGACATGTTCTCTTGTCATGAACAATTTAATTTGAGCCCTCCCCCCCTCCCCCTTCTCCTCACCCCTCCCCATCCTTTCTTGTTGTCCCTCCTATTGATCAAAGGTCAGACATGTTAGAACATTTTTTTCCCCCCAACTCATTGTCATTTAATTGCTAAGACACTCCACTGGCTTTTAAAACAGAGGTTATAGTGCACTAGTGCATGAAAAGCATTTTTGTGTCTGACCCCATAAAAACACCTGTGACCTACAACCTGAACACCTTTAACCCTCGTGTCAAAGACTGATTTCGCTTTTTCCATTTGTTGATCCTCTTTGTCTATCTTGTCAAATGTTTAAAATCCTTCACACAAATGAGCTCTACTTTCTATTCACATTCTAATTTCTGAAAATATATAGATAGGCTTAAAGCCTTTACTGGCTTGGTTTGCTTTTGCTACAAAAAGATATTAATCCGAATACAGGAAAAAGAGGCTAAAACAGCACCTGGACATGGATGGCTGGTGCCTCTATAAATAAATCATTGATGGTCTGGTCTGGTTTTGCTTTTGTTCATTTTCCAACATAATAAAGTGAAATCATCTAATATCCCCCGATGTCATCACAGGCTGTTTGCTGGCGACACTTACTTTGAGGGTTAAACATGATTCTGTGCAGCAGCTGAGAATGCCAGCTATACCAAAAGTCTTCACATAGAGCAACTGAATGAATCTTTGTTGAGTCACAGCAACAGCACAAATGTCAAATTGGGAAAAAAATAATCCAGTAATATCACTGAGGTAGAAGGAGCAGACCACCCAAGAGAATCCTCCACCCACTCACTTCTCATCAGCAAACTACGAGGACCAGATTCTGAATTATTGTTGACCTTTGCCAGCGCAAGCTCTGAGAGAAATAAAAACCTTGAACAAACGCAATGTTTTAAAGTACTCACAACATCTCTCGTGCACTCCCTGCAATTCTAATTTAGATAAATCTAGCTCTTTCTCTCAAAAACACACATACATAGACACAAGCACACACACACATACACAAACCTACACACACACATACGTACATTACCCTTTTCAAACAACTCCAAAACATAAAAGAAAAAAAACCCCAAAGGGAATGTCACAATTCATGTTTTTGATTGTTCAGTTCAGTTGACTTGGTGGAATGAATGTACGGATCTGAAGTCTGGTATGTTCGAGCAGAAATGATCATATGACGTACCTGAACACATCAGACAGACTTTCACTGCCCACACACACACGCTACCACCTCTACCATCTGTTCACCATAAAGACAGGAATGGGGAAAATGTCAGTGAAAAACCTCATAGCTCCCTGTTGCTGTCAGTTGAAATAAGGCTTGAGCCCTAGAAAACGCAGTTACAAAATAGGTTCAGCATAACACGGATGGGTGCAACACAGAAGACTCAAAATATCCATCCAACTTTGCCCGTGGTCCTTTTTTCTTTTTCTTCTTTATCTTTGTAAGGTATCCCTCAAACTACGGATCCCCCAAACTTCCGAGGCCGGCCCCGACGAATTCGAGCTATCCGTGTTATCCTATACTGTAATAAGGACAACTTCCTGAAATGAAATAACTGTTTTTTCCTTTTCAGTAACTGTAAATACATTGCCGAGTACAGCAGATATAAAAGTCCAATGACTGACTGGTCTTGTGAAATTCTTGGACAGACAACTGAACAAACAAACTGTCGTACTCAGATAAGCATCTCATGGTGGGAAAGGCTTGAGACTACCAGAGACGCGTCCGACCAGCAGCAGACCAGACTCGATGTTTCGGAACATTTCCAACCACCATAAACAAATGAGGAGTCCACTGAAAAAAACGGGTATAGTCCCAAACTGGAAATTGTGAGGGTGTCAATTTTAAAAGCTTGTGGACTTATAACTTCATATTTGTTTGATTGGTGGTTTATTTTATATGTTTGTTGGATGCAAAATCTAACAACAATAATTGACCAACAGCTGAACAGAAATACAGTTATGAGCCAACAAGTGTTCATAATTGATACCCTCACGATTTTCAGTTTGTGACAAAGCCTGTTTTTTCAGTGGACTCCTCAAATCTAAAACGGAGTTTTGCTCAGCTCATAACAAGAATGTTGTTGCTGATCTTTCTATTAATGCTTCTTTCTGAAAATGCCCCCAAAGCATCTCGTCTGCTAGCATTGTCGAAGACACGTCCTCAAAGAGTTACGGGTGAGTGTTCATGTAGTAGGGGGAACAGTCACTGAAGTACGAGTGACTGACGTGGGGAGTTTAGAGCCTGAACAAATATCTATCTGTTTAGTGAGATACAAACTTGGAATCCTTTTGTTCCCAAAAAATCCCCCAAAACGAGGCATGAAGGAAGGTCGATCTAATTGTAACATTGATGGACGAGAATGCACACAAACATATTATTGAATAACAACAAAAAACACAACAACTTTTGACTGTTTTGCAGGTGGGCTTTGATCACAGTACAAATTGTGCAAAAAGGCATCAGTGACGAAACATCTTACAGGCAACCGGTGCATTCACGTATGAATATATATATATATATATATATATTGCTAAATCCCACCAATAAAGAAACACAGAAGTTTCTTGAAAATCGAAAGCACCAGATAATCCTCATTTCTAAACAACACACTGGCCACAAACATTTATGAACCTCAGACAAAACAATTTAAAAACGTTTTGCTTGAGCAAATGAATTTCCTGTAGCGTACAAAGACATAAAGGCCTTCAAACGATGAACGTTAAACTGTTCAGACAAGTGGACATTTATTCTTCAACAATCTTGAAATTTTCAACCCTAGATTTATCTCCCACTGAGCTATGGCGCTATTGTCACCAAAATGGCGATTGCAGAAAAAAAATTGAAAACACCCCAGGAAATATAACACCCCCCCCCCCAACCCCCACATATATCAGTTTCTGCACCAATATTTTGTTCACAAAAGTGTAAAAAGTATGATCGGTTCCGTCCAGTCACACAGGAAGTCACTCTGTTCATACTCATACCTGGCACACCTCTCACACAACAACTTTGATCAAACTCTCTCGCACAGGACACCGTATCAATATGAAGCATGCACCCCTTTCAGTTGGAGCCAACCCGTTGTGTTCAAGGAAGTAGGACTGTAGGCTACCCCAGTCTGTGACACACCCAGCTGCTGTCCTTGTCTGGTACGCCTGGACAAGCTTGCAGTCAGTGTCCAGAACCACTTGACCACCGGACCTCCGCTGGACCACCTGACAAAAAGCGTCCTCCACTTTGAATAGACAGGATATCCTCAGTGACTGCTCCCTTGAGAAACGGATACCGGTATGACTCATATGAAACAAAAATAGTTGACCCTTGAACCATCGGAGCATCACAATACACAACAGTCTCTTCTCCCCACACAGCGTGTTTTCACATCGTCATTGTGTGAAATAAAGCGATTCCACACTCATAAATATACATCAGAGCTGAGACCGAGGAAGACGGTGTGACGAGGAGTGGGGCACTATCAGATGAAGGGAACAGAAACAACTCCCAGTTCTCTGTTCAAAGCAGAGATATTCTGAAACATTCCATCTCTTCCACTAGAGCCTGTGCCTTTGTCCTGCCACAGCAGCATGTGTTCTGCTTCATGTATCGTTGAAGGTCAAACACTTCACACACCCCTGAAGTTTGACATCCCTGATAAAGGTTCCATTGTCCCCTCCACATCACACTAAATGTCTCAGAGGATTAAACATTTCTGACAAATGAAACCCCCATACCCTTCACTCCACACCTTAACAAATCTCTCTGCGAGTTTAACATTTCTCTAGTGAATGAACCTCTCCTATCCTCTTCTCCGCATCTTCATGAATATTTTTGCGAGTTTAATATCTCTGATAAACAGGTCCATTGTCCCCTCCAAATCAAATAAAACTCTTCAGAAAGTTCAACATCTCTCAACGAGGAAACTCCCTCGTCCTCTCAGGCACATCTTGATGAACATCTCAGAGAGTCTGGCATCTCTGATCAATGAATCCATCTTCTTCTCAATACCAATGTGAACAGAAAGTTTAGCATGTCTGGCGAATGAAACCACCATTTTTATAATAATAATATAATTTGAATAGCGCAAATCCCTGCACAACAGCAAGCTCTAAGCGTGCGCTTCACAATCTATACTATTACCCCAGCAGACCTGAGAGCATTCTGAAACAACCTCAACTTCGTGGGAAGCATACAGTGCAAGCAGCCATTTATAGGCGCTAAAACACTAACACTAACATGCTGACAAGGAGAGGTCTCCTGTCCATTAAAATCAAAGTCATTCTTCTGTTACCTTCCGTCTCAACCTGAGAGCCGACAAACCGGGTCTCTGTGGTACGAGAACCTGCACTCTATCAGGGCTGAAATCTCTCCTGTCAGAAGTTTTCTCCCTCTTTTCACACTAGAAAAACAGAAGGAGAATCGTACTCCGAACAAACACAGCATTTGTAAACATCAGCACCACTACCACAACTCAAACTAGAAAAATGTAAAAAACCTTTAAGTTTTCTCTATGTTCTACACTCATGCCGTGAATTGTGAGAGTAAGAAATCTCACGTTGGGGAACACACAAGTCACTTCACGATTCCCTCTGTGTATCCTGGCTGATGGTAAACAAACACGAATCCACGAATTAGGCAAAGGGAGATAAGTGTTGCTACCTGTTCCAGGAGAATAAGCCGGTGGGATACTGAAATAGACAAGAAAATGAACAATGTTCATTACAACTCATTAAAATCTTGAATTTCTACAAAAATCCACATTCAATAATTGTTCGTCAGTCATGAATTGATGAAGACATTTAATACCCACGAAGGAAGAGAAGTTACAGAACCTGTAGCAGCTAGTGTGGTAATAATAATCGATAGCATTTGTATTGTGCAAATTCCTGCTCAACAGCAAGTTCTATGCACTTTTTCTTCTTTTTTTTTAGTAGAGGTTTTACGGCGCTCGCAACTGCATAAGGTCATATGAGCGCCAGAGGATTAAAAGTGTTACAAGTGAGTAACAAACAAAAAAGAAAAAGGGGAGATAAGGACGAAAGAAGTTTGATAGGAAAGATGAAGCAAACCACACCAGAGCACCCGCCAACCACCCACTCTATGCACTTTACATTCTATATTGGCAAAAAGAGAAAAGTGAAGAATATAACACTATCCAGATTGTAAAGACCGCAAACGTCACAACTCACTGCAGATAGGAGAGCCTTTCCTTTTCCTACAGTTGTTTGCCTATCGGCTTAAACTTCCACAGGGGGCTCTCGTGGCCTAGAGGTTAAGGTGTTGGCCTCTTATTCAAAGGTCCCGGGTTCGAATCCGGGAAGTGACCGAAAAATTTTCTTCTCTAAAATTGTCTCCTTTCACCTCCTTTCTTGCTCTCCAGCAATGTTCTGTTGTCTGCCTTCATTTCCACTTTCTGCCCCCACCCCCTCACCTCCTTTGCCCCCTCCTCTGGGCTCCTGACTCTTTCTGCAGCCTTTCTACTGCTACTCCTTGGCTCCTCCTTACTGCTGTCTTTCAGCCACACCCCTGATCTTCTGGTAGGAAAGATCTACACCTAGCCTTCTCGGACAAGGGCAAACATCTCGGAGGGCCCGTGTGCAAGTTGCGCACGTTAAAGATCCCTTGATGGTCTAAAATCGATAAGAGTAGGCTTCGGCCACCACCCGGGTAAATTTCAAAATTTCCTACCAACTGAAAATATTAGGTGTGTCCCGCGCGCTCATATGACCTTATGCAGTTGCGAGCACCGTAAAACACTTTACAAAAACAAACAAAAAACTTCCACACTCTACATACTATGCTACGTTATACATATTACGTTTAGTTCGTTAAACTTTCTTATGTTTTCCCTTGTGACCTTCAAGCATATACAGAACCTTTCTTTTTCCAACAGTTGTGTGTATAACTGCTTAAACGTAATATGTTATGTCAAAATGTTACGATTAGTTGGTTAACCTTATCCGTAGGCCTCGGGTCATTTTGTACCACAGGGGGTGTATTCTTCACATTTTAGAAATTTCCTCTTTGGAAAGTGGTGGAACAGAGTTCCCCACATCGTATGGATACGATAGCAAAACATGATGTACAGATGGGGTTAAACTATCTTACAGCTTCCTTTGTGACCTTCAAGCAGATTTACTGAATAGGCCAAAGCTAACCACTACACTGCCAGACTAGACCTACTGTGTAACTTTAATAAGAGCCTGTAACAGCCGCAGTCAATGCTGTGTAAGGTTTAACTAAAAGAGCTATTGGCCTGGGAACGGTGAAGAATCAATTAAAAAAGAAGAAAAACTGAGCCAATTTGGAAAGAAAAATAACTGAAATAAAACAAAAAATTTTTTTCCATCGATATCGCTGTGTATTTTGTTTTTTTGTCTGTAATTCTATGACCAAAAATTGACCTATAGTTTTGCAGTTTCGGAACATACATGGAATTTTTATTAAAACACCTCTCAGTGTCAATGATAGGTCATGAGAAATCAGGGGTAGTTCGCAATAACTTCCTGAAAGCATGCAAACTGTTGTAAGAAACAAACATGTTATGTAAACCGCATACAAGTGTCGTGGTATATGCTTCTACTTCTTAAAAACACTCTATGGCCAACCAGTGTCTGTGGTGTAGAGGTAAGGTGCTTCACCTTGGCACATAGAAGACCGGAGTTTGATTCCTGAGTGGGGAGGACTTTCATTGAGTACCTCGGTCTTCCTGCTGGGATGTTATATCCCTCTAAGCCTCGGTTGGCCCTGTCAGGCAGGGTCAAAGCCCACCTCATAATTGATATAATTGGACACTTTTAAGCACAAGGGGGCTATCCCGAAAAGTGCGGAGAAAATCGAAGATAAAGTTTTTGCCCCTTATTCAGTTCTTTAAAAGACAAGGAGAGTTTTCTCTATAACTAAACAAATATACACACCAATGAAACGAAACTTCTCCTATAGGTACGGCAATGTCCACTTTTGGTGTAGGTCAAGATTTCTGGAAACCTCTGAAATCTGGGTTAGCTCACTTGTCCTTAAAAGCGACCAATTAGGTCCATGGGGGTGTAAAAACTTCGGCATTTAAATTTATTTCTTAAAATCTTCTGCTTTGCTGATCGTTTGCAGAAATTCAGAAATAAAAACGGGAAAAAAACCCACATACCTGAGCCACATAGAGGCAGGCCGCCCAGCGGTACAACTCCTCCTCCGAATCGAAACACAGGCAGTGACCAAAGACGTCTTTGCCTCTGCGGGACACAAGTATGAGATGGTGTTACAGACAACATTATGGTTCTTTATACACATAAACAGCAGTGTCTGAAGGTATGTTGTGGACCACAGTAAGTGATGGTATATTATAGACAACAGTATGTGATTGTATGTAATATATAGACAGCAGTGTGTGATTGTATGTTATAGACAACAGTATGTGATTGTATGTTATATATAGACAACAGTATGTGATGGTGTGTTATAGACAACAGAATGGTTTTTTACACATAAACGATGGTAAGTGACATGGATTAGAGAAACAAGTCCAGGCGAACTATAAAATAATGCCCATGGAACAGTCAGTCGTAGATAGAAGCTTTCATGATTCTGACAAACTGTATGAAATTTGTGACACATTTCATCATGGAGCTAAAAACAAAACTCAGAGAAAAATAGAATTCACAATGTGGAGGTGATTTACCCATCCCCTTGATGTAAATCATTTAGATACTGTACTATATATACAAATCGACTGCTTAGAGTAAGACTCCGAAAGAGGCCATTTTGAAAAGTGACGTATGATAAGATAGATACACCTTTAATGTCCAGAACCTGGTACGTACATTGGTTTAGTGTCTCACCATGTACACACATACACACCCACACACATGCTCACACACACACACACACACACACACACACACACACACACACACACACACACACACACACACACACACACAGAGAAAAACACACACACACAAACATGAACACACATGCAGTATGCTTGCACCCACACACAGGCTTACTGTCACATGCAGTCACTGATGGAATCTTTACATTGAGCAGTCAGTATGCTACGGTTGTAGTTCTTTCCATATAGTAAAAAAAATGGAAGATGTTAATTCCTACAGTTAACAAGGACAATGGAGAAGTCTTTACTCACTTGTCTCTCGTTTTCTCTCCCTTGACGAGGAAAGTGATGCAATATCTGGAAAGGAAAGAAATTGAGTGTCGTTACTGAAGGTGAGACAGACAACATACTCAGTTACTGGAAACTTGTCAAGCGATGTGTCAGGATCGATGAAAACAAAGTCAAGCAATGTCAGCATGGTAGCTTACAGATGGGAAAGCACAAGGGTGTGTCCTTGAGTTAAGACATATCATTATGTGATATCATTATGTGAAGTGTGCTGACAAAATGAGTTACTTCTCGGATTCAAGCCTTAAGGAAATAGATACATCACGCTTATAAGTGAAGTTTTTACAATTTATAAGTATAAAAAACACATTTTATGGTTAAAGAATATGGCATCAATAGAAAATCAACAAATTTTACTCTAGTGTCGATTTTTGGTCAATATCTCCGTGGATTGTAAGAAGTAACTCATTTTGTCAGCACGCCTCACATATCAACTTTGACTAAAAATAGTAGCACAGGGTGTCCACCAACCATGGAATTAGTGCTTCTGAATTTATTGTCGTTGCTTCACAAATTACACTGTGGAATGCTAGGAGTGTATATTTATAGCATTAAAAATAAAATCCCCCCGAATAAATAAAATGTGGTGTTTTCTTTCTGGCCTTTCAAGACACTGAGCCACAGTTCCTGCAGGTTTGTGAGACCCTTCTGTCTACTGCTTCATGTTAGTCTCCACTATACACCATTGTGGAAAGTGACGTATGACCCAGTCTTACACTGAGAAGTTGATACGTCTTCAGACCTTTCTTTTGCAAGAACACGTCTAAATGCCCAAGCATACAAGTCTTACTTTTCCATGCACTGGACTAAATTAAATGTTGATACCCTCCAAATGAACATTATGTTCTGTAATATGCCTTAAGAAGATTGTGTTGTCAACAACTGTGTGGGTGGTTGGAGGGCGCTCAGGTGTGGTTTGCTTCTCTTTTCAGTGTTCAGTGTCGGTCGTGCTTTGCTAATCTCCTCCTTTTTTATGTTTGTACAGCGTTCAAAGCTTGTTTCTGGACCGTACAGAGAGCTATGAAAAAATACTATCTATTACTACTTACCTTGTGGGAGTTGACTTCTTTGGCTGATGACCGATGTAGATGGTGATATCCTCCACGTTCCAGCCGGCAACCTCTGAACTTGACTGAAAGAAAGAACAAGGGGGAAGTTGTCAGGTGTTCACTACATTCTAGGATTGCTGTTTTACTCCTGTTTTTAGAGATAGATGACAGATAACGTACTGACATTGTCATTCAGCTTCACCTGCCACTTCACTGAAGGATGATAAAATGAAACAGATTTGTTTTCTACCCTTTTTTTTGGTCTCGCCTCTTTTTCTTTCTCCAAAAGGTAAAAACAATTAAGAGAGAAGACAGCAAATTCTGAGTTACTCGTTAAGTCTTTCATACATTTCTTAAGCTTGGTGAGAAGGTAATTGAAACATTGGTGAAAACTTGCCACATTAAAAAAAAAATGTAGGTGTCTTTTTAACTTTCCACAGACACAATTTAGGTCAATTAGGAGGGGGGCTTCCAACTCTGCCTGTCAGGCCAACCCGAGCCGAGACATACAACAGATCTCAGAAAAAATGCCCAGATACTTTAAAAAAATTTTCTCCTCACTAGGGAATCGAAAGCGTAAGAAGGGAAGACCAAAGATGACATGGAGGCAAGCGGTACAAGCGGAAATTGAAAAAGCGGGGACATCATGGAAACAGATAGAAAAGGATGCTCAAGACAGGCTTAGCTGGAGTAATGTTGTTGATAGCCTGTGCTCCACTGAGAGTTAAAAAGGGCAAGAGAGAGAGAGGGAATCGAACTCTGGTCTCCTGTGTAAACCTCAGATATCACTTTTGCCATATTATAAGAGGACTCTATTTTCAATGATAAGCACATTTATGAATGACCGGTTTAAATAGGACATTGCTACATTTTACTTACAATTGTACCAATGGTGTATCTTCAAATAAGACGATTTACTTTGATTTCACCAACTTATGGGCCTTGGAAAAGAGTGCCCCAGCTGGTTATACAAAAATACGCATGGCATAAGTTGGAACAGAGTTTGATTTCACCGAATCTAAAAAAGCAACCTATTTTAATACTCGGCCTTTGACTTTTAGAATCTTGAAATAAGTATTTTTTACTTTGAACTCACCAAAACCGATAGCAATAACACTAATCTATACCCAGCTTTGACTTTAAAAATCTTGAAATAGGAGTTTTTACTTTGATTTCAACTAAACTTATAGCAACAACGTGCATTAATACACACAGCTAAGAATCTTGAAATATACGGCTATTTACTTTGATTTCATCAAAATCGATAACAATAATCCAAATTATTACCAGACGTTTCACCTGAAGAGAACAAGAACAAAGAAAACAAAGAAGAACCAACAAGAACAAAGAAAACCAACAAGAACAGAGAAGAACAAAGAAGAACCAAAAAGAACAAAGAAAACAAAGAAGAACCAACAAGATCAAAGAAGAACCAAAAAGAACAAAGAAAACAAAGAAGAACCAACAAGAACAGGGAATAACAAAGAAGAAGCAACAAGAACAAAGAAGAACCAAAAAGAACCACCAAAGAACCAACCTTTGGACTGCTGGAGATGACCAGTCGGTACTGCTTGAACTCCACGTGGTATTTCTTGAACTTGGACTTGGCCTTACACTCGGCGTACTGCAGGCGGGCCGACAGCATGGTGCTTGCACTGTACTGTGAGACACAAGGGGGGTGGGTGGGGGGGGCGGGGGGCATGTCAGTGTTTCATTCAAATGTCAGTTGAAGTCCTTTCTGTTTTTAAATTAATAAGATGAATATTTGGAGTGATTTTCTTTTAGTTTGAACACAATGTTTTATGTTACTGTTGTACGTTGTACTGTATTGTAAAGCGCTCAGAGCCTGTGTACTTTAATCGGGGTTGAGTGTGATATAAAGGTAATTTATTATTATTATTTTTAAAGTACATGCAATGATAGTCAAAATTGTCCAAGACAGCCAGCCATCCATTGTCCATAATTATAATAGTTGTCTTAGACTTAGACAGGTATATGTCTTGAACTGCGTTTTTTAAAAAGTGGAGAGGGAGAAGTAGTTTTAGTTTTAGTAAGAGTTTTACGGCACTTGCAACACAATAAGGTCATATAACTGCCGAAGATTAGAGGTGTTACAAGAGAGTAACAAGCACAGAAAAGAAGGAGGGGAGTTAAAGAAGATAGATGTTTGATAGGAAAGAAGGAGAAAACCACACCAGAGCACCCATCAACCACCCATTTGGAGAAGTGGGAAGTGGTTGTTTGAACAAGTAATTGTCTTATGCAAGGTTAGGTTTTTTAAAAGTAGAACGTGAAAAAAGTTAGTAGATCTAGAGCTCATTTGTGAAGGAGTTAAAATGTTTGGCTAAAGAAAAAAACCAGGGTAAAAGAAACCTAGAAGGCTACTGGTTTAATAACAACAACAACAACGACGACAACAACAATGACAACAACAACAACAACGATGACAACAAAAACCACAACGACAACAACAGTAACATCAATGACAACAACGACAACAACAACCACAACAACAACAACAATGACAACAACAGCAAGAACAACTACAACGACAACAATGACAAAGACAACAACAACAACTACAACAACAACAACGACAGCAACAACAACAATAACAACAACAACAACAATGACAACAGCGACACATAAACCTATAGCACGGCTTACACTGGCGTCAAGTTTCTCCAGCATCTCATCATCACGCACACACAGACAGCAGCTGTTATCCTGCCTCACCCAGTCCTCCCACTCCCCCCACAAGTTCAGAGTCTCCAACAGCTTGTCCTCAGGGAACAAAGGCCGCTCTGAGGGGATGAATGATCATGGTAATGACGAGGAAGGAGGAGGAGGAGGAGGAGGAGGAGGAGGAGGAGGAGGAGGAGGAGGAGGAGGAGGAGGGGAGGAAGAAGAAGAAGAAGAAGAAGAAGAAGAAGAAGGAGAAGGAGAAGGAGAAGGAGAAGGAGAAGGAGAAGGAGAAGGAGAAGGAGAAGGAGAAGGAGAAGAAGAAGAAGAAGAAGAAGAAGAAGAAGAAGAAGAAGAAGAAGAAGAAGAAGAAGAAGAAGAAGAAGAAGAAGAAGAAGAAGAAGTTTTTGTTTGAGTAAAGAGAAGCATATCGACACACAAATGGTCATCTAGTGCTGGGAAAAAGTAAGACAGACAGACAGAAACAATAGAGGGAAGGTAAAAAAGTAAAAGTACTTACCAGTGGCGCCCTCCAACCACCCACGAAGAAGAAGAAGAAAAAGAAGAAGTAGAAGAAGAAGAAAAAGAAGAAGTAGAAGAAGAAGAAAAAGAAGAAGTAGAAGAAGAAGAAAAAGATGGAGGAGGAGGAGGAGGAGATGCCTGGCAGTTGTATTCAGAGTGTCAGAATGTGCCTTACTCGAAATAGTGGTGGAGGGGAAAGGGGGGAGGGCATCTGGAACATATGTTGTTTGTGGCTGTAATATCTTATCGTAATTATAACATAATAAATCCTGATTGACGTATGTTCTATGTTTCTGCAAACTTTTAAAAACCACAATTGAAAGAACATTCTTAATCTTGTCTGCACAAACGTTGATGGAAACATTTCAACACTGAAAGGGTTAAAGAAGAACAGGAGAAATGAGAGACTTTGGGGAGAGCCGACTATGACTGATATATTTGATCGCTTTTAAGGACAAGCGGGCTAACCCAGATTTCGGGGGTTTCCAGAAATCTTGACCTACACCAAAAGTGGGTATTGCCCTGCCTATAGGAGAAGTTTGGTTTCATTGGTGTGTATATTTTGTTTGGTTATGAAAAAAACTCTCCTTGTCTTTTAAAAAAACTGAACAAGGGGCAAAAACTTTATCTTCGATTTTCTCAAAACAGCATTTTTCGGAATAGCCCCCTTGAACTTAAAAGCGACCATTTATAGAAGCATCAGCCATCCATTTCTAGATGCTGTTTTAGCCTCGTGAGAGTTTTGAGGGGGGGGGGGGAGAAAACTACTGACCCAGATCCCCCTTGAATAGCAGCTCATGCAGAACACATTTGCCCATCTCCGGGATCGCATTCTTTCTCTTCACGTAGTTCACAGCACCTTCAGCAGTCATATCCTCCGTCACCTGCCATGGAAGGAAATAGAACACTTGGGTTAGTTTTAACTTGCTACATGTTTCCAAATTCATATTCCGAAACTGAAAGTAGGTAGGTCGTCACTAAAATCGATGTCCCCCCCTCCCCTGTGCCAAATGCAGAAGATCCAGGGCAGTCACTTGTGGTTGGGGACTATAAGCTGGAGAATGTAGGTAAGTATTTTATTCAATGTTTAACCTGTGGTGTTTTACCTACCATCAGCCGGGCTACTAAGGCCACTAGATATATCTAGATCTAGATCTATCGTTCTCTGACACTATGGCTCCAAATCTAGATCTAGACTCTATATAGATCAATATCGATGGTAATAACACACTTCTGACACCATGTGGTGTTTTACCTACCATCAGCCGGGGCTACTTAGGCCATTCAGGGTAACTTAAGCCACTTACAATAAGTTACAAAGAACGGTCTGTACAAAGGAACAGATTTAAACGTGCAGCCATCATTGTGTTCAGCAGGCCAACCCCAAGCCAGATTTATTCGAGTAGTACAACCAGTTGCAGATGTCTAATGCAATGCCAGGTTGGCTAATTGATTATACCACATAACCCTTTGAGCCCTGACCTCCTGAGGTTACTGTGCCCCTCTGTCTGAGCTCCTGAGCGATATAATACTAACATTTATACGACTGTCAGAATTCCATTCCACATCCCACTCAGGGTAGTCCTCGTCACTATGAGCATCTAATTCAGAAAGATCCTCAGAACAATCAATAACATCCTGTGTAGTATACATGGTTTTCTGTGCAGGTTTTGTCCCAGACAGGCTGGATGTGGGATAGGGTCTTGCTCACCAGTGTACAGGTGGCTAGGGTTCAAGGGTTAAGGCCATTGGACCACATCAAATTGACTGCTTAGTTTAGTTTTTATAGTTTTAATAAGGTTTTACGGCGCTCGCAACTATATAAGGTCAAATGAGCATCAAGGGGTGGATGTCAACAGAGAAATCCAAACGGGGAATCAGGCTTATTCTGCTCATCTCTCTAACCTTAACAGCACAAAATCTGCTTCGACTATCAATCAAAGCATCCCCGAAATAGTAGTTCACAAGAGAGCGACAAACATACAAAAGAAGTAGAAGAAAACTGACTATAATAAGGATGAGGAAAGACAAAGCAAGAGCTCCCCCTATGTTGTTCCGGAACAGTATGAACATGACATTGATAAATCAGCCCATTTACAATTCTACAGAGCATGAGAACATGTTAATATCCCCCCTTTGGGAATGGCCTAAAGACAACTTCAGTCAGTAGCACTGCCCTGGTGGGGGTTAAGGGTTAAGGCCACTGGACCACATCAAATTGACTGCTCAGTAAGACTCCACCATATGTCATGTTGAAGAGTATTGTATACGACGGAGTCTTAAACTGAGCAGTCGACATACGAGTTTAACACGTACCAGAAACTTCTGTGAAAACAACATAAATTATAGGTGACACACATTATATCAATAACATTTTAAAAACTTTTAAAGTCTATAAATAAAGTTTCTATAGTTTATGAAAAGTCTGAACAATACAAAACATTTCTAAAGAGTATATAATAAAATAGGGAGAGAGAGAGAGAGAGAGAGAGAGAGAGAGAGAGAGAGAGAGAGAGAGAGAGAGGGAGAGAGAGAGAAAGAGAGAGAGAGATAGAGAGAGAGAGAGAGAGAGAGAGAGAGAGAGAGAGAGAGAGAGAGAGAGAGAGAGTGTGCGTGCGTGAGAGTGTGTGTGTGTGTGTGTGTGTGTGTGTGTGTGTGTGTGTGTGTGTGTGTGTGTGTGTGTGTGTTTCTGTGTATGTGTGTGAAATTCAAACCAAACAAAAGAATCACCTGTATATTGATAGACTGTCCCTCTCGGCTGAGGATGAAGAACTCACACAGCGTGGACTGAATGGACGGAGTCATTGACTGAAACAACACAACAGTATTCCTTGAAGATAATGGCAAGCATAAATATACGGGAGGCATGCTGACAAAATGAGTTACTTCTCGTATTCCACAAATGGAAATGTCGGCCAAAAATCGAGAATAGGGTCAAATTTGTACATTTTCTATTGATGCCATATTCTTTACCTATAACCTGTCTTTTATTATTTCATGCTTATAAATTGTAAAAACTTCACCTATAAGCGTGATGTATTTATTTCCTTAAGGCTCGAATCCGAGAAGAAACTCATTTTGTCAGCATGCATATATTAGTGGCACAAGGTGAAATCAGATGCACAACAACTTAACAAACTTGAAGAAACCAGTATTTTTTCTGTCCCATAGGTAATTCTTATCAATTTTCTTGTTTGGCTCATCACCTTTTATGTCCATTTATAAGCACATTTCTGTGGAGATTTTTCTGAAAGCATTGATAAAAGGCACAGAAAATGTACATTTGCAGTTTCCAATGACACTCAAATTTTGAAAGTAGCTAAACTTTGGCAGCCATTTTCCTCTCAAACTTTACTTCCAACCCAGCCACCCCACCTCCTTCCAGCTAAAATCTATCAGCTATATCTCTATCTATCTATCTATCTATCTATCTGTTCGTGTTTTAGCGCTTGTAAAATGGCTGCTTGCACCCCAGGAAGTTGAGACTGTCTCAGAATGCTGTCAGGTCTGCTGGGGTAATAGTATTATTATAAATTGTAAAGTGCATAGAGCTTGCTGTTGAGCAAGAATTTGTGCTGCACAAACGCTGTTTATCATTATACATGTACTATAATCTCACCTGTCTTTTCCCTTTCATGATCTCCTCTATCTCGGCCGCGGCTTTGTTGATCTTCCCCTCGATTGCCAGCTGCTCGTCATCAATCTGTCCAAAGTCAAAACAGAGAGGAGTAAAAATGATTTTCAGAATTTTATTTGTTTATTTCGACTGTTAAGTGCAAGACTCTGGCATAAGCTGTTTTGAAACTTGAAAAGTGACATATGACGAAGTCTTGCACTTACATTGAGCAGTCAATTTCAGGACAGCTATGTGGACCCAGACTGCGAACTTTTCCAAACCCAAAGAAGGACACCCTAAATAAGGCGCTCTGTTAGCTCATCTGGTAACACGCTAAACTGTGGAGTGGATAACGGCGGTTCGAATCCCAGACTGGGCATTCCTGAACTCGGGTTGTTTTGTGGAGTTTTCAAGGCTCTCAAACCATTTGGCTGGGTCCTATATATATAACAGGAGACGGATCTTAAATTTGGAGCTCCCATCTCTGAAATAACCTAATAGAGTTGATAGGGGTGTTAAACCCTCGCACCTACACCAAACATAATAACTTCAGATTACGAAACCACAAACAAAAGTACATCAAGTGAAACTGATTCTGATGTAGTGTATGTGATGTCCTCTCTAATTTCCGACTGCCAACTATAGGAAAGTCCCGAGACATTCAGGACAGTCTGTGCGCCTGTAGAATGTTCATTTAGAAATAATGACCTCACAACCAACAAAGAAATATTTTGTTTTACCGACTCTGTATTCAATCATATACAGTGTGCATGTAAATCATATTCTGTCATAACTTATGGGTACAAAGATATTCAAAGACGAATAAAATAATGAATATTCCGATAAATTTTAAACAAGTAAAGATTAAATTCAAAGAATAAGAGAGATATTGTAAGTAGAGATTACATTTTAAGAAAATGTTTTGACAATGATTGTAGCATTATTATTTCTGTGTAACATAAAATATGATGTTTTACTTCAGCAACCTTTATTGACAGGAAAACATGCCTTCAATAGATAGCCATATACTATCATGATCAGAGCTAGATTGATGAAGATGAAAAGAAAAAAAACGAGATGGATTGCCTTGTGTGAGACTCCGCCATATGTTATTTGGAAAAGTGACCCATGGCAGAATCTTACAAAGAGCAGCCGAGATAGAAAGGAAGTGAGAAAACCAAAGATGTGAGGAGAGAAGTGAGAAAACCAAAGAAGTGGCAACAAAAATGTGAAAAATAAAGTGAGAAAACCAAAGATGTGAGGAGAGAAGTGAGAAAACCAAAGATATGAAAAGTAAAGTGAGAGAACCAAAGATGTAACAACAAATGTGAAAAGTAAAGCGAGAAAACGAGAAAACCAAAGATGTTTTCTCACTTCCTTTCTATCTCGGCTGCTCATTGTAAGATTTTGTCATGCGTCAAGTGAGAGAACCAAAGATGTGAGAGGTAAAGTGAAAAACAAAAAAAGAAAAAAAAAGTGAAAAGTAAAGTGAAAATAAACCAACAAAAATGTGAAAAGTCAAGTGAGAAAACCAAAGATGTGAGAGGTGAGCAGACGTGACACCGACCTGGAAAAAGTAGTTTGTGTTACGGAGTAGGTCCACAATGATGGCAATCTCTTTGCTGGTGATGTCGGACATCAAGTTGGGCTGGACCGGGAAGACAAACATCACAACAATAATGATGATGATAATAACAATAATAGCAACAATAATAATAATAGTAATGATAATAATAATGATAATAATATAATAACAATTTAATAATAATATTAATAATAATAATAATATAATAAAAATTTAATAATAATAATAATAATAATATAATAACAATTTAATAATAATATTAATAATAATAATAATATAATAACAATTTAATAATAATAATATAATAACAATTTAATAATGATAATAATGATCATGAAAATGCAGCTGCAGGAAGTGTCAATAAAATAAGGTAGATAAATTCTTTGTTCTAAAACCATTGCCAGACCATGCTGAAATGTTTTCAGTTCTCCATAGAATGGAGATGAATACACTACTACTCGGATTTGAAAGCTTAATCTTCAAGCAGGGTTGAAAATTACAATTTTTTCCTCACAACACACACATTGAGCCCGTAACGCACATAACCTCAATTGTGCTGAAAGTGGCCCAAATCTCAACCACCAAGAGAAGCGTACCTGGTCATTCTCCGTCCTGAGCAGCGAAGGGGCGAAGCACGTTGCCAGGTTGGTGATACCCATCATGTTCTCCCCTTCTCTCTGGGACACGCTGAGAAAGGAACAACATAAACACATTGTTGGGATATTTCCTCACTTTTAAACACAACTGACAACACAGACACTTTGTTAGGCTATTTCCACCCCCCCCTTCCCCCCACAGTGCTACTGACTGAAGTGTCTTTAGGCCATTCCCAAAGGGGAGACATTAACATGTTCTTATGCACAGTAGAATTGTAAATGGGCTGATTCATCAATGTCAAGCTCATAACTGTGCCTGAACCGCAACAGGGAACTGCTGCTTTTTCTTTCCTAATCTTTACTACCGTCATTTTTCCTCTACTTCTTTTGTATGTTTGTCACACTCTTGTGACCCTCTAACACGACTGACAAATTCATTCCCCCTCCACCCCCCTCCCTTCCTCCAAGTTTCTGGTCATTTGTATGACAAAAAGTCATAGACCTATTCCCTGCTTTGTCGCAGCAAGTCTAGTTTGAAATATGAATACCTCAGCATCAATTTTCAGCATTTAAAAAATAGGTTTCAAACTACACCCATGTAATTACCCACCAAAATTTAAAGAAAAAATAAAGATCTAATATAATGTGAGCATACAGTAGAGAACACACATGCGGAGATTAATCACAAATTAGGAGAATAAGAAAAAAAGCAATAACGCAGCATCTAGTCAGTGGATGTGCCCAGTTCTAAGAGAGTAGCCACAAAGGTTTGTGTTGTGATAACATATGGCAACATACAAGTTCTCTTACGTGAGTAGATGAAGGAGAACTCTCTTGAGTGTGTGGTAGTTGACTAGAGGCATTTTGTCAATGTAGTATTTGTACCAGGCCAGACGGTTCTTCTCATCCTTGCAGCCTGCCGAGCACATGTTTTCATACATCAAATAACACACATCAAACAACGTGTTTATAATGCCGTCATTAAACATGTACAGTTTATGCAGTTATTTTAATTTTACAGGAAAGCCTAAAAAACAGAACGTTGTTACAAAAAAACAAACAAACACAAACCCCACTGGCTTTAAAGATAAAGGGGAAGTTATTATCAAAATTGTATTCTTAAAAAATATTGACTTGGGGTATTTGCAAAAGTTAGTTTTCGTGATAAACAATGTTCATTTTTTTGGTGCTCCTGCAAAATTGTAAAAACTGCATATACTGTACTTTTAAAATGACAGCAGTATTGTGCAGAACATGAGAAAGGAAATGTCATAGAAAAACAAAAAATCATGAGAAGAGACAGACCAAAAAAAAAAAAGAAATCAGACAAGAAGTGGGCATCAAATCAAGCATGAAACACATCGAGAGACAATAAATAAGATGGTTTGGAAACGTAGGCCTGCAAAATGAGCTTTGATGGCTTCAAGGCAAAAGAAAGACCATGAAAAAGATGGATTGATGGAGTCAACAAGATCTTTCTAGTAGTAGTATAAGGTTTTACGGCGCTCGCAACTGCTAAGGTCATATGAGCGCGCGAAACACAAGTTGTTC